GTGAAGAAGTGTGTTGCTCGTAAAGCGCCAGTAAAGATTCGGTGGGTTGACGCGTGGCGTTAACGGGCAACGTTCCTCCGCGAAGAGCACGGCGCAGCCAAAAACGAAGGAAAACGAGACGAGGAAAAGAGCCGGAATCGCGGAATCACGCTTGTGCGGTTGCGTCCGGGTTGACCGCGCATAGGTGCGTATATTTTTAGCCTGGGCCCGTGTCAGATTTCCCGTACACTCGATACACTGTACATACACTCGATGGTGCATGGCCTCACCAGGGGGATGCTGGATGCATGGATGGATGGATGGTGGTTGCCATGCCTACCAAACCCTCTTCTCTCTCTCCTCTTCACATTCGTCTGTCTGTCTGCTTGTCCGTTCGTCCGTCTGTTCGTTCGATACCTGCCCTCCTCCCCCTCCCCACAGGGCGTTAGGTGCTCGTGCCTTATTATCATTTATGGTTTCCTGCTTTTGCTGAGCCCGCAAAACCGACAACCTTGTCAAAGTCGAGCCGACCTCCTCCTCGACTCGCTCGAGAACTCGCAATGTTTGAAACTCCACCGGGCCGAAACGGTGACACGCTCTCTCTCTCTCTCACTCCTTCTCACTTTGTGCGAGAGCACGACACGATGAATTTTTTACGTACCACCGTTTCGACCCTGCCAGGTGAATTAAACATTTCACATGGTCTCTCCGTCACACGCCGTCTACGTAGCGTCTCTATAATACGGAAAGGTATGTTTTCGACGGTGTGACGATCGCGCGTGGTCGAAATACATATGTTTGGTCTAGAGTTAGAGCTGCGTTCGAGTATCGAGAAAATAAAAACTTTAGCGGGAGAAGGAACGGCGGTTCTGTTTAGTCAGCCGGGTTATAAAATCGTGTTTCACGCGTGACCGAGTGGAGCAAAGGGCCTCATGGTCACGCGTGTGTCCCTCGTCGTAAGAATACGAAACTTTTTGTAACGTATTTCGTCTAGCCGAAGGTATTCAGGTTCCTGGCAGGGACGAGGAACGCCTACCGTATTCTGGTTGTCGCGGTTCGATAGGGTCCGATGGCTTGTCAACGTGACGCTCAAAAAATACCGTAGTTAACGCGCGTGTGTTCTGCCTTTCCCGTTTACTTCACACCAATTGCTTCACCTTTTCAGCCGAATATCTGTCTTATAAATAATCGAGAAAAGTTACTTATCTCGTGCAAGAGGAAATGGTAGCAGCGAGGGAATTTATAAATCAGACAGCCTTCCTTCCTTCTTTCCTTGCTCTACCTTGCAGAGCCTGAAACTTTCATAAAGCTTCGTTTCTCTCCGAAGAGTATATATCTTCGTGTGTGCGCAACGATAAATATTATTGGTTAGATTTTTGCTGCACGCGTCCGTGGTTAGTTTCTAACTCTCTAAACTTTCGACCCTGTGTGTACGTTCGAGGGCTGCTGTAATCTCGCTTTTCCCCGACTGTTTGTGGATTTGTTCCGTAAGAAGCAAGTTCACGCGGAGATCGACTCTCGAAATAGCTCCGGGGAAAAACTGCAGCGTGTTTTCTCTCGAGTCAATTAACGATTCTAGCAACGCCTGATGATCCCTTGTTCTCGATCGCGAGGACACCAGTTCCAGATCGTTCCAAGTATCTTTCCTTTTTCCCTCGGCCGCTGGTGTAATTTCCTGAATTTCTGCATTCTCCACGAATATCGGCAAACTCCTGTCGAGCGTGTCCTCTTTGGAAACTGGCTGATTTATATACAGCGTGACTAGTCAAAGATGAAGAAGCGGCACCGCGCGAAATTGTCGGCAATTTCCACGAGACGTCGATCGCGTTGGAAGTCGAGGTGGAAATTCGTAGGCGAATCTCGTCCGTTTGAACGGCCGCTTTCACGAAGATAGATTGGAAGCCGGCGCTATTTCGAGGGAGGGCTGACGGGTCATCGCGGGTAAAAAAGTTTGACGTTAATTAAAGGCTCGACATAAATCACGGCGAACGCCGAAACGCTTTCCTCCGCGCTGCTGCATTTTCAGTATCACCGGTGCGTCAGCCACATCTCAATTCCTCTCCGAGGTGACAAGGTATATATATATATATATTCTCACGGACGAACAACGCCCCCGGTCTATTAATTAAATAGACGAAAATGTCTACCCAGTTGAAATAGATCGTAAAGTGTCCATACGAAATTCGATCATTTTTCAGTTGGATCGAGACACATACTGCATCGCTGTACTAAACGGGAATACCGCACATCACCGAGCAAAAGAAAGGCTGCCGCCACGGAAGATTCCGCTCTATGTACATAGGTATATTTCGAGGGATTTGCAACGGACGACACACTTTGAGCCGCTGGAATCCAACTAAACGCTAGAATAGCATTTCTATTCGGATAATTTCCATAAAGGGATAATAGGGGCAAAAAACGATTAAAAGATTAACCGGGAATGCAGGGAAAGCAGGAAGCGTTGGAAAAGGAAGGGTGAAAAAATTCATAGCGCCTCAAGAATGACCACCTTGCATGCATTATTCATAAGTTCGAACCGTTCCATGCGCGAAAAGATAAAACAAAGAGAAAAAAGGCGTCCTCGATCGGTGGTGAATTCGAGACACCGAGTATGCGCGCACGTGTAGCAAGAGCAGACGCTGTTATTTAACGCTGCAGCTATTTCCAGGTGCGTACGTCGTCGGTGTCGAGTGCTACTCACCGACGAGCTACGACGCCACTCGTGTTGTGCCAGCCTTTATACCACTTAATCTCCTTTCACCTAGTCCGTCGAAACGAGTAATATTTAGTGGCACTCCTTTTACTACCGTTTTCGACCTCCGTTTACCGCGCCGCATTTTCTGTTTAATTCCACGCATCTAGAGCGAAGCCGGTTCACGCCGCGAGTTTTGCCGTTTCGGAAGATGCGAGCCAACCGAAACTGAGGTCCCTACCGTTCCTGGAAAATTCTGCGGCTTCGTTCGCCGTGAAACGAAGGATACGGCAGGACTACAGGTCACGAGCAAAGTGTTGAAAAAAGTGGAAAAGAAAGAGAAAGGGTGCAAAGTTGAGATAGTTATCAGCTGTGGGCAAGAAATCAGATGGAACTTTATGACTGTGGGAATAGGAGGATGGCGGTTAAGCAGCGCGTGCAGTCTTTCCGGACGGATCGACTGAATCGTTCACTGTTTCCACGGCCACGGCATTCGGTTTACAGTAGCCAACGTTGTTTGCATCGCGAATCTCGGAAACATTTGCGTTGCCCGAGATGCAGCGGATAAATCGTATCAGCATGGAGCAGCGCGATGAAAAATCTTCCCCGATATAGCGATAGCTTGTCTCGATAATCCACCGTGAACTTTGTTCCGTCCGTGTAATTGCCCGGTTGGATCATTCTTCGCTGATGATGTTTTAATAGCCGGACTGTAGTTTCTCCGCGAAAAGAATCGAGCGAGGCATGCATAAAGATGAGCAAAACAGGAGTACTTATAACGCGATAAGATAATTGAGCGTATCGTTGATCTCTGGTTGCGTAACAGGACGAGGATATCCAGCAAGGCTGGTGGAAATCGATGATGATACGATCGCTATCTAAGTAAACGACGTAGTTGTCACGAATACCAGCGAACACAGACGGGGGAACACTTTCTAGCAGCGAAGGCTGCGCGAGGACGCGTCTGGAACGGAAACGCGGGTGGATATTACGCGATAGTTGTTCATTATGCGAAACCGAGTGTACACCTTGCGATTAGAGACGACCTCAAAGCGATATCCGGATCTTATCACGAGCGACGCGTTACGAATGTTTACGTTGATAAGGCGGCTTCATTCTTCCGATGGAATCGCGTCTTTTGTACTATTCTCGACTCGTAGCATCGCCTTTTTCTTCTTCTACCTCGCTGCAGGCAAAAAGATAAGGGGTATTCTTCTGTACAAAGAGCTGGTATTTTCAGGAAAAATTACATCTTTGTCTGTTTGAAAGGAAATTTGATTAGATTTTCTGGGATGGACTTTGCGGTACAACTATCCGCGATGTGTGGCAGAAGTAGCACAACGAAACCATTCACTGGGCAGAAGGTCGGTCGAGTGCGCGTATTTCATTGTACGCTGCATCGATTCCCTCAGGGGTTTCTGCCGATGTGTGTAGATAATACTTCAATAATACGCCGGAACCTCGTTTTTTCTCTTTTTTTCTTTTTTCCTTCGTTTTTCTACCGTGGAATTTCTTGGAGGCGTGATTTTTTCATTTGCATCTTTGCGCCGTCTCGTCGTTGATATCTCCCTTTCAATCTGAATCCTCGTTTTCTCCGCGTTAACGTTGAAAATGCGCTTTGGGCCATGTTCTGACCCGATTCTGCTAGGGTTAATCCAGGAGAGCTTGGCTCACAATCCTACGCCTAGCAGCAGGTTCAACTTTTGCGTTTTCGCTAATCCCTCCCGCGAATTACACCCGTATCGATTCACACTTCCGACATACACAAGTGCCTCGCGTCCTCGACGGTACGCGACCGTGATGCAGTCCAAGTACGAAAGTTACGAAAGATTTATCAGTGTGTGGTAGCTTCTTCCTTGTTTGTTCGGTCGATACGATAGAATCGCTAGGTAATTAAACGCGAACCTATGATTCGTTTATCCTTGTTCAGGAAGGATCGATTCGTCCTTCGTGGAGCTTTCAAGCTTGCTCCGGCCTGTCGCGACTGTTGCCACTTTCGAGAATGCACCGGCTGCTCTAGGTATTTCTAGCAAGGTGAACAGGAAACTCGAGTCTACGACGACACGGTTTCACACACGTTGTGTCGCGTCGTTCGCGTCGTCCACGATGCATTTCCACACGGACCAACGTCGTTACCGTGCAAAACGTTGCCATGCGCGTCACGTGCGTCAAAAGACAATTTGTTACGAATGTAAATTAATCGAATGCTCGGCTTTCGATTGCCTCGGTACGCAGGAGTACAAAGCTAGGTTACTGAAATTCGCTAGCGAAACGTACGTCGTTTAAACGTGGCGAATATTCTGAACAAGCGGTGATATTTTTGTTGCAGGTTCCGCAGAAAGCGATATTCAACCGGAAAGCTTGCGGTAAGTGGCCGAGAATTACGTATTCCGTGTCACCTCCACATCTCTCCATCGGCGTTTCTCCGCGTGGGCCGAAACATCCGCACATTTCCATCGAAACGCCGAACCTCCATGGTTACCTCTGGCAACTCGCTCTCCTCGAAATCTGCGAGAATTCGATAGGTGTAGAAGCATCTATGAATTAGTATGGTTACCTCTGGCAACTCGCTCTCCTCGAAATCTGCGAGAATTCGATAGGTGTAGAAGCATCTGTGAATTAGTACCAAGTATCGTACAATACTCAAGATCGATCAAAACGATCGTTCATTGTTCAGCTTTTGTCGTAACACGAGAACGAGATATTATTCTACGTTTAATTCACCGTCTTCTGCTGCTTCACGAACAGTGACTCACGTCGAACATTGTCAATATTTACAGGCTTGGACGCATTAGCTTTTAAATTAGCATTAAACACCTATTTATACGGGCGTACTTATACCGTTTAGACAGGGAAGACAAATGTTGAACGTAGCGAAGACCGTGGAAAGATATAGAACGATGGTAGCTCTAGGTATAAATGTTGGGTTCCGGTATGATTCAATTAAAAGAATGATCGATCACCGAACAGTTTCGCTTTCGAGTCCCTGGCAACATCTCGTTGCGAGGAGGGTTGCCGGGTAGAATGGTCGAGGGGCGAGAGGGTAATGGAAAGGCAGGAAGGAAAGATGGAAGGGTCGGAAAACGGGTCGATAATTCGTAGGTTTATATTCCTCTGCAGTGGCGGGCCCGTGCGTCCGGTCGTCGAAAATTTATTTGTCTAGCTCGGGCTCGTAACACTTTTACAGTCGGACGAGATCCACCGAATAATTCGTCTCGTCCTTCAATAATATATCGCGACACTGCCGTTCCTCCTCCACGTCACGCCCAGCCTCTGCCCTTTTCACTTTCAGACTACTCCCTCAAGTGCCACGCTCATTTTTTTTTTATGCTTCTCCCTCGACGGTGGTGTGTCCCGATCAACAATTTTTCTGAAAAATATCTCTCCACGTATTTACGAGCGCTCTCGATCCTGCGAAACTCGTAAGTTGTTGCATCGAGCTTTATCTTCGCCGCCTTCTCGTAGGTACTACGGTGTTGAATTATCGAAAGTTTCTCACTGCTGTCTCGTATTTCGTCATTCTTGCCAGTTACTCGGTAAAAAATTCATCAAACCTGCTGCCGCTAGCTGGTGTGTGTCGAGTATTCGGAAATTCGGTTGGTCGTCGGCCTCTAATTTACTTATCACCGGTGACGACGGCGGCGGCGTCGTCGCGAGCCAGAGCGCTATCGCGTTTAACTCGTTATTCGAGGACGGTAAACCCTGCTGGCTCGGTGCAACGAGGTAACGTCAATATTACCGGGTTGTTTCAGCTCTCTCGGCTTTATCATAATCTTTGCTCAGCAAACACTTCCACGGGGAGATACGAAGATCGTGTCTCTGCTCGATGAAAAGGAGCCAGCCTGAGTTTGGCTGGCGAGCACAGTTTTTTTCTTCTTCTCCTCTCCCTTAAAAGGTCGCTTTCGACGACGGGCTTTTGGAACTCCCTTAGACCTTTGCCTGAATTTGCATCCTCTGTTTGGCCTTCCATCAGCTCAACGTTTGCACGCGCCTCGCGAAAATTAAGTCATCCTAAAGAGGAGGATAACTCTTTGGAGAGAGAAATGTGTCGTGTTGTTATTACGTGATCCACCGCGAGACAGAATCGACCAGAGGTGTTGTCTCCATGGTGTAATTCTTCTGTGGACGAGGAGTATGGGAGCAGTGGTAGATGTATCGGTCTGCTGGCGTCTTAAGCGGCACTACGTGACTCTTTTTCCAGAGCAAGCCACGTTTCCTTGCATTCTGTTATTTCTCTCCTTATTAGGTCTTAGAGTTTGTGCTCTATCTTGTTAACTAGATCGCTGCTGTTTCCTGTCCTTGGGTTGCCAATTGAAAATATTTCCGAATTACCGGGTTTATCGGTGGATAAAGAGAAAAGAAAGATGGCAGCATCTTTGGAGAAGAATCGAAAGGAAGGTGGTCGTTTCGGGAACGAAGCAACAGCCGTCTATTATTTTCCTATTAATCAGAGCGTTAACTGATTGTACACGCCAAGGAAAAGGAAGTATGCTAATGATCGTAACACCGTTGAAAAGCATATTTTCACTGAAAACTATGTTAAATTGTGGTAATACGTATGTACAACTGATACAGACCAGAGGAATTAATTGGTTCTTTATGAAAGGCGGCATGTGGAAAGAGAATCGCAATTATTACACGGTACTGCGTTTTGGATTAGAAACCGTCAGTAATACACCGCCGTGACTCTGGTAAATGAAAGAACGAAAATATCTATTCCTCGATGTGGAAGTGATAAAATTAGACGGTTCCAGTTTCTTCTTGGACAACTCCCAGCTATTAAAGAAGCGAGAGAAAAAACTTGATAGACCATTAGCTCGCTGAAAGCACGAAATTCCATTGGCGAGTGGCTCTAAACGAAAGACCAGACGAGTCGAGTTTGCCAAGTTCAAGGGTTAAGAAGCACGCGGAGTGAAATCGCGGCTCGAGACTGGTCACGTTTGCAATCTTCAATCGTTTTCTCCCCCATTCGACTCAATTTCTCGCAATTAACGCATCAGTCTATTGCGGCCCATTAATCTCACGCACTCGTCGCGGAACGTGCTCCCCGAGACACGGTGCTCTACCTAAGTATGTAGGTACTATATGCGTCGCGATAAAAACGATCTTCCGTCTGGCTACCAGTTATCCACCGATCCACGAGGTGGTTGCGTTAACCGGAGGCATCTTCGGCGAGTGACGCGAACACGGTGTGTAATCTCCACGAGGCCGATTACTTCGCCGATGATTTCACGCGAAATCGCAATTACCGGGCCTTTTGCGGACAGCTCTACTTGGAAAAAGTTCTTCTCACCGGCGAGTAACAGATGGGAATGATCTCGTGCTACTTGGCGTTTGTTGGCGCGAATCAGCAGCTCACGCAAAGATACAGATGGAACAGATCGATACCAGAGCATCGACACCTTCTACGAAGCTGCGAGTGACGAGCAATAAGGCTGATTGAAAGGTCGTTGCGTCTTCTAGATAGAGCAAAGAGCGCAATCTCGAGTGGCGGATGCCTACTCGCCGCGCGCATAATGATCGAAACCCGTCCTTACCGAAGGCCACGGGTTGCTCGCATGCCGTCGAACTTGTACGGTAGAGTAAAAGCATGTGCGTTTCCTGGCTGATCGGGAAATTCAAAACTTGTCTCTCCCCCGAGAGAAAAGACTCCTCGCAACAGTTGGACGAGCGAAGGCAAGGGTCGATCGGCGGGAACGATAAGGCAAGAGTCGAGGTCGCGCGACGATCGTCGGTGAAATCGCGCGTAGGATTCGTCCGGTTGACGATCCGTGCTTCGGTTCTTTTCACCTCGCGGTTATTTTAACCGCGGGGATAGTCGAGACGAAGAGGCAGCGGCTGGT